CCAGTTGACTGACCCGCAAGGATGTGGTCCCATGTACAAGGTCTGGCTGGGCACCGTGGACCTAGAGCGTCCCAATGAGAGGCCCGCCAGACGCCTCGCGAGGCTCCAGTCGGAGCTGGGTGCCGTGTTTTGCGCGCTGTGGACCGTTCTCACGCAGCGCGTTTGGCTCCATGGTTCCAGGGAACCCAAATCCGACCCGAGACTGCACACGGAAACGACCATCAATAAGTTCCTCGACGACTGGAAGGGCTGCGGGTACAACGCCTACCTGATGGACTCAAGGTGCGACTTTCGCATCGACTGGGACAGGTTACGGCCCGACTACCTGCGACACACCCGACCTGACGGCAGAGGCAAAGGCAACCAGCAGAGTAGCTGGCGAGACCGTGCGACGAGCTCCTGGGACACGTGGGACACCTGGCAGAGCGACTGGAGCGAAGGATGGCGCGATGATCGCTGGCAGACGGGCGGCAAGCGCGGTGGAGGCCGACCCGACGATCGAGACGAAAAGAGACATCGATGGAGAGGCTGAGCTCATGCTCCACCTCCAACGCATAGGCTCCGCGAGAACCTCACTACACACTACGTGCGGCCTTCAGCCGCCTTTCCCTCTCTTGCATCCGTGTGGCAGCCCCGTTGCCCCTCTTCCTTGTCCGCACACTTCCTGCCTTTGGATCCAAGTGTGCCGATCAGCAATACCATCTGCCTTGCTGCGTGATGGAACGCAGCTCGCAGACCCTAGCTGGCCTCGGCCCCGCTGTAGTCTCTCTGTCAGTGGCCTGGATGATCCTGTGTTCGGCTAAGCTGCTGGGATCGCCCGCTCACTCCTGACGCAAATTTACACCCTGGGACATCCAACAAGACTGCGACCTTCAGTCGCGCCCTGGACGACACTCGCTTGCGGCTTTCGGCCGCCCCTCCTGGCACGCGCACTTCCTACCTTTGGATACAGGTGCGCGTGCCAGTAATACCGTCCGCACGGCGTCCCACGTGCGGATACTGGGGCCCCTGGTCTCTCTGTAGCTGTTTTCACCTGCCAGGCCGAGCCTGGCGCGCGGCTGTGGCCGACCTAGCGGTTTTCGCACGTCCCAGTCTGCGCCCCTCCCTGGATTCCAAAACCTAGTACTACGGCCTTCAGCCGTGCTCCTGGAACGATGTGGCTGTGAGGGACTCGTCTTTGGGTATACGGCGCCCGTCCTTCGCGCGCCTCCACGATTGGGCGTGTGGACTTTGGCGCGAGCCACATTGAACGGCACACTCTGAGCGACTTGTCCCCACCGAGTGGCCGCCGCCCCTGCTGGGTCCAGTCCTGACCGTTGGGCCACTGGGCTCAGGCGCATCTCCAGTGGAAGATCTTTACCTGCCCGCGGGGCTACAGCTCCTTCCACGGATGTGCCTCTGATGCTGCGACGGTTCGCTGGCGCTGTCTGAGTACCTTCCTGCAGGACCGCGTCTCCAGCTTTGTCTGCTCATACCCGTCAGACTCCCTGGATTGACTCTCCTGCTTGGATTTCGTTCTCTACCACTGTCGTTTTGTTACGATCACGGCGGGAGCGTCCACGCGACATTTTGGCGGCGTCTTAACTTCTCGGTGGTAGACAGACTCCCTGGGTTTGCCACTTGCACGTTCCTGGGCGTTTCTTGCAGACTCCCTGGATTGCACGCTCGCCTGGCTTCTCAGACGCCCTGGGCGCTGCCCCTTCCCGCCGCCTGATCCGCGGCCCCCGCGCGCGCTCGGGAATTTAGTCGCGGCCGCAGCCCGACCGTGACCGCCCGCCGTCGGCGCTTTCGCCTGCGGCTGTAAAAAAAAAGTATCCCCACCAACCCATCCAGAAACGATGTCCAGGCGAGTTGAGGTCATCAGGGAAGTGTGGGAGCAAAGACGGGGACGGCCGAACCGTGCGAAGGAGGGAGGAGGAGAAGGAGGAGGCTGGATGGATGGATGCGGGAGTGGGAAGAGGGAACATGAATATGATGATGATGATGATGATGATGATGATGATGATGATGATGATGATGATGATGATGATGATGATGATGATGATGATGATGATGATGATGATGATGATGATGATGATGATGATGAGGATGAGGATGAGGATGAGGATGAGGAGGAGGAGGAGGAGGAGGAGGAGGAGGAGGAGGAGGAGGAGAGAAGGAGGAAGAGGAGGAGGAAGAGAAGGAGTAGGAGGAGGAAGGAGCAGGAGGAGGAGGAGGAGGGCAAGCAAAAGGGCCAGAGGTCTCATGGATGCCTCTCCGGAGCCTCTTGGGATATCTCTTGGGCGCTTCTTGGAGGCCTCTTGGGACGTCTTGGGGGTCTCTTGGCGATCCTTGGGAACTCTCGTGCGTCTTGGGTGCCTTGGGGGGGCCTCTTGGGGCCGCTTGGGGTCCTCTTGGAGGCCTCTTGGGGGCCTCTTGAGGCCATCTTGGGACCCTCTTGGGGCACCCTTGGGAGCCTAGGGAGCGCTCGTGGGGCCATCTCGGAGGAGATCGATCAAAGAAGGGGGTCCAAAAGTAACGCCGCCCACCCAAAAGGCCCAAATGGGGCCAAAACCCTGGTAAAACCAATGATTTTGGCCTCCTCGCCGAGGCCGTTTTGGACGCCCTGACCGCTCGCGGGGCGCCCCGTCCAGGTCCGGGGGAGGGGGTAGGGGGAGGGGTAAACCCCTCCCCGAAAGGGAAGAAGGGAGGTGGAAGAGGAAACGCTCTAGACCACCAACGCCAAGAGGCCTGGTGGGATTCGCCTGGGCATCGCTTATGGATAGGATGGTGAAGATACTTGTTTGGTTCGCGGCTCCAAGGCGAGGGACAAGGAGCGGGCACAACGTCCGGGGCGCGGTAAAAAAATGGTGAAGATACGCGAAGCGTCAAGAACCACCCACTGACCCCGGGCCTCCAGGCGTGAGGGATTGTCCACCCTCCTAAGTCCTCCTCCACCACCCCATGGGCCACGAACCAAAATTCGACCCCACCCCCGGGGCCCGGCCAAACTCACCAAGGGACAGTTCGGACTCCCCCAGGCGTCTTTAAGACTCCATGCCGGCCTCTGAGATTCCCAAGACGGCCCAAAAAGCTCAAAAAAGGTCCACATACGGCCTTCACACGATTCCAAAATAGTTCAAGATCTACCCAAAATGGCCTCGAGATGATCCAAGAAGGCTCCCAAACAGGCCAAACAAGCGTCCAGGGAACGCTCAAGAGTCCCCAGGGAGGCCAAAATCATCAAGATCCTACAGGTTCCTTGTACATTGTTGCTAGTGCAGCCTTTCAGTCTTCAGCGCGCTCAGCGCGACTCGCTTCGAGCCGGCTCGCGAGGCTCGCAGAACGCCCCACGAGGCCCCCGAGAGGCCTCCAAAAGCGCACAATGATGGCGCAAGAGGGGCCCAGGACGGCCCAAGAACCGCCGAGACGGCCCCAGAGAGCCCCACGAAGGCCGAAAGAGAGGCCCCAGAGAAGGACGACGAACCGACCGTTCGAGTTCTTCGCCCCACGAATGGTCCACACGGCTCCAAGACGCAAGCGGCTTCCAAGAGGCCCCCATAAGCCCCCAAAAGACCCCCAGGAGGCCTCCGTAGGTCCACAAGAGGCCTTCCAGGACGCCTCAAAGAGGCCAGAAGAGTGCAGGAGGAGGCACCAGGAGACCCTCGCAAGACCCCCAACGGAGATGTTGCGCAGGAGCCCCCCAGCGCAGGAAGGCCCCACAAGTATATGCTTATACTTCTGCATGCAAAAAAGTGGAGCGCCAAGATGTACGGGCTCGGCAGATGTAGCGAATGACGATATGTGTATTTACATACATGTATGAATATGTATAAACACAAATCTGCATATAGAAAGAGGGAGAGAGAAAACCAACATACACATGGCAATAATTCATAAAGCAACAAAGAAAGACAGACAGAGAGAGAGGGAAACAACACAAAAACACTTCAAAGGTGGCCTCAAAACGGCTCAAGAGATCCCCCAGAAACGATTGGCCCCCGCTCCCGAGGCCACGACCCCGCCCCGCACAGAAAAGTTTGATCCGCTCTCCCGAGCTTCAACGGTGGCCGAGGCAACAAAGGCTGCCAAAATGGCGCAAGGTGCCTCCAAGATGGCCTCAATATGGCCCAAGAGGGCTACAAAAAGGGCCAATCATCCTCCAAGACGGCCTCAAGACGGCACCAGAGGTCCCATAGACAGCCCAGGATGGCCCCAAGAGAGTCCCAGGCTGGCCCGGGAGGGCCTCTGGAGGGACCCGAGACGGCCTCAGAGGGCCCATCTACGGCCCAAGACGGCACCAAGACGGCCTCTAGAGATATCCCGGATGGACAAAGAAAACCCAATTCGGCCCAAAAGCGCCCCAAGACGGCCCGAGCAGGCACAAGAAGCCCAAAGACCGCCCCGCAGAAGCCCAAGACGGCCCCAAGACGGCCCCAGATGAGCATCTCATCGAGATGATCACCATCATGATGTTCAACATCGCACTCGTCCACTACGATGCTCCTTCTCCTTCTCCTCCTGTTGTTTCTCCTCCTCCCTCCTCTTCCTCCTCCTCCTCCTCCTCCTCCTCCTCCTCCTCCTCCTCCTCCTCCTCCTCCTCCTCTGTATCCCCCACTCCTCATCATCGTTTCCTTTATCTTCCTCCTCCGACCCAGGAAGACCTCAGATGATCCACGATTAGCTCAAGACGGCCGAGGTATGACGTGCGACGGCGTTCTGACCATTGCTCCAACCGCCGCTCGATCCACGTGTTACGGCCTCCTGTCGTCCCTCAAGCATCGGGGATCTGCTGACCCGGGTCAATCCAGACCCGGGCCAGTCGAGTCCTGCAGGATCCCGCAGGACCCTGCAGGATCCCGCACCCTCACCCGGGGTCGGTGCGACCCTGGCCTCCGCAGGATCCTGCAGGAGCTGGCGCTCTGGCTGACCCCCGGTCGCAGGGCTCCCGAGGGCAGCTGCCTCCGAGAGTGCCGGGCTGGCACGGCGGCGGGGCTCGCCGCAGGCAGCCGGAGAAAATCCCCGAGGCCCACGTTCTCGTCCTGGTAGCGGAGGCCTCCGCCGATCCCCTCGTAGGGCACCACGACGGCGTACCCCTCGAGCTCCAGGGTGATGTAGTCGATCGTGTCCAGGAACCCGTCCACGGGGTCCAGCTCCGTGCTGTTCAGCGTCGACTGCAGCCGCTCCCAGGTGATGGGCACCCGGAAGCAGTTGGCGCCCTCGCTGCTAAAATGCGCGATCGCGGCTCTCGCGGGCTCGGAGAACTGGCCGCTCCTGCCCGCCCGGGTGCTCTGCTCGAAGCCGCTGGCGGTCAAGCCTACGCACCACATTCCCTCCATCGGGTCGTCGTAATTCTGGCGTGCCAGGTCTGCGTGGCTGAAGCCCGCGGCGCCGCTTGCGTTGAGAGTCAGGGCCAGCACCGCGACCAGGCTGCGCGTTCGTGCTGGCATGGCCAGGCGCCGACGAGGCTGGCCAATGCGCTCTCCCAATGAACTGCGATGGATTGCCAGATCCGCCACCGTGCCCCTGTGGCACGAAGTGGGGTGTCCCCAGGTCTCTTGCTCAACCCCTGGAGCCTCAGCCCTCAATCCTGAGGATTCTTTAAGGGGCCCAGACCCGGAAGTCTCGAATCCTCATGGGTTCCCGACGTGCCGGGGAGCGTTCCCGCACGAGTTTTTCGGAGACAAGGGTACCCAAAGACGGGCCACGAGGGCCCCAAGAGGCCGCCCAGACGGTCCAAGGGTGGCCCGAATCGCCACACGATTGGTCCAAGACGCCCAAGATGGCCCCAAGACGGTCCACAAAGCCTTCGAAACGCACCAAGAGAGCTCCAAGAGCCTTCCCAAGGGAGCCCCCAAAGGCCAAAATCATAGATGCCCCTCAGGTTGTTCGATGAATTTAGCGTTCTCGCCTTTTCGCTCAAGGTGACCCAAGAGGCCCCAAAGATCGCACCAAGACGGCCCAAGAGGCCCCAAAGACCGGCCCAAGACGGCCGTAGAGGGCCTCAAGACGGCCCAAGAAGGCCCAACACACAGCCCAAAGAAGAGCCCAAGAGGGGAAACACGAACCGAAAATACAAGTCTTCAGCACCAAGAGGCCCCCAAGAGGCCCCAAGAGGCCGGCATTCCGCGACATCCCAACGACTGTCCTCGAGGCCGATGTCCCAACCCAGGCACGGTGGCGGAATGGGCCCACGAGACCACGAGAAGCCCCCAAAGGCCCTCAAGAAGCCCAAGGAGGCCCCCAAGATGCCTCCAACAGGCTCCCACGAAGCTCCGAGGAGGTCCCAAGAGTGCCCCCTAAAACTCCCAATATGCTCCTTCTCTTCCTCCTCCTCTTCCTCCTCCTCTTCCTCCTCCTCCTCCTCCTCCTCCTCCTCCTCCTCCTCCTCCTCCTCCTCCTCCTCCTCCTCCTCCTCCTCCTCTCCTCCTCCTCCTCCTCCTCCTCCTCCTCCTCCTCCTCCTCTCTCCTCCTCCTCCTCCTCCTCCGCCTCCTCCTCCTCTCCTCCTCCTCCTCCTCCTCCTCCTCCACCTCATCATCAGCATCATCAGAAACAGCACCATCATCATCATCATCATCATCATCATCATCATCATCATCATCATCATCATCATCATCATCATCATCATCATCATCATCATCATCATCATCATCATCATCGTCATCATCATCATTATCATCATCAGCAGCATCATCATCATCATCATCATCATCATCAGCAGCAGCATCACCACCATCATCATCATCATCATCACATCATCATCATCATCATCATCATCATCATCATCATCATCATCATCAGCATCATCATCACCATCATCATCATCATCATCATCATCATCATCATCATCATCATCATCATCATCATCATCATCATCATCATCATCATCATCATCATCATCGTTTTCCTCCTCCTTCTCCTCCTTCCTTCCTTCCGAGCCGCTTGACGGCGCCGCTCGGTCACGGCGCCGCGCCTGGCAGGGCCGCCCGACGCGGGCACCGAATGTCTAAAAGCAGTTGTTTCACTCCCCCAAAAAAATTGGGGGGGACACGTAAAAACATAGTTTTCGCGGCGCTGTCGCGCGCATATAGAAAACAAAAAACAGGCGGGGCAAACCGGACCGCCGACGACGTCTCCGCGACCGCCCTGGCACTCCGCGTCCAGGGGCTGATTCATGCGTTGGGTTCGCGCGGGGGGGCAGGTCATTTGAGGCCCCCCGCGTCAACGACGATCGGCGCCGACACTCGGCGCGTCAACGACGATCGTCGCCGACGCTTGGCACCGACGCTCGGCACGGACACTCGGCAGTCACACTTGGCGCCGACATTCAGCACCGACGCTCGGCGCGCGCACTCACCACGAGTGCATTCCCAGTCCCATCGCCTCGCCAGAGTGCACTCACCAGAGTGCACTCTGGTGAATGCACTCTGGGCAGCCCAAGGGGGATGCCCAGAGTGCAAGCACCCGCGCATGGCGACTTCCCCATCGCGAAAAATACAAAAACCACCACACGCGCGCGTCGGCACATTGTAGGCTGCACCGATAGACGAAAACGTAAGGACCGTATTCCAACGTGGAAACCCAATCGGCAACCGCTAGAAAAGGTTCGCTTCAGTTCGCAAGCCAGCACGGCGACACTCCTATTGCGGACAAAACAAAAACCGCCACGCGAACGGGCGCGTCGGCGCATTGTAGGCTGCACCAATGGACGAAAGCGTAAAGACCGAATGTTACGTGGGAAATCCCATCGGCGACCGCTAAGGGTTCACTTCTAGTTCCCAGACAAGCATGGCGACTTTCCTATTGCGGGCAACACAGAAACCGCCACGCGCGCCCGCGCGCGTCGGCACACTGTAAGCTGCACTGGTATACGAAAACGTAAAGAGCGCATGTTAAGCTCGGACCACCAATCAGCAAGCACTACGGGTTCACTTGAGTTCCCAGACCAGCATGGCGACTTTCCTAATGCGGGCAACACAGACACCGACACGCGCGCCTGCGCGCGTCGGCGCAATGTAGGCTGCAATGATATACGAAAACGTGAAGAACGCATGTTAAGCTTGGGTTTCCAATCAGCAAGCGCTACGGGTTCGCTGTAGTTCCCAGGCCAGCATGGCGACTTTCCTATTGCTGACAATACAGAAACCGCCACGCGCGCGTGTCGGTGCATTGTAGGCTGCACCAGTAGACGAAAGCGCCAAAACCGCATGTGAAGTTGGAAACCCAATCGGCAAGCGCTCTTGGTTAACGCTAGTTCCAAGGCCAGCAAGGCGACTTTCCTATTGCGGACAAAACAAAAGCCGCCACGCGAACGCGGTCGCCGGCGCATTGCAGGCTGCACCTATGGACGAAAACAAAACGAGAAGACCGCATGTTAAGTAGGAAATCCAGACGGCAACGGCCGCGGGTTCACGCCGCACGCGCGCGCGGGCGCGTCGGCGCATTGTAGGCCGCGCCGATAGACGAAAACGTAAAGACAGCATGTTAAAACGGAACGCAAATCGGCAATCGCTGCGGGTTCACTTGAATTCGAACGAGGGCCGCCGCGCGCGCGGCGGCCAAAGCGCATGTTGCACGGTAAAAAAAAAAACCATGCGCGAGGCGCCAGAGCCGCCGCGCACGCCGCGGCCCACGCGCATCTTGCATGGGAGAACACAATGCGCGAGGGGCTATGGGCCGCCGCGAGCGCGGCGGCCCCCGCGCATATTGCATGGAACAAGCAGAATGCGCGAGGCGCCATCGGCCGCCGCGCGCGCCATGGCCCACGCAAATATTGCATGACAAACGCAATGCGCGAAGGGCCAAGGGCCGCCGCGCGCACGCGCGCATAGTGCATGGAAAAAAAACCGCGCGCAAGGCGCCCGGGCCACCTCGCGAGCGATGGCCCACGCGAGCCTTGCATGGACAAAAACAACGCGCGAGTGCGCCAAGGGCCGCCGCACGCGCGGCGGCCCACGCGCATCTCGCACGAACGCACACAATGCGCGAGAGGCCAGGGCCGCCGCGCGAGCGATGGCCCACGCGCACCTTGCATACGAAAAAAACCGAATGCACGAGTGTGCGATGGGCCGCCGCGCGCGCGGAGGCCCACGCGCATCTTGCATGGAAAAAACACAGCGCGCGAGGGGCCATGGGCCGCCGCGCGCGCGGCAGCCCACGCGCATCTTGCATGGAAAAACAATGCGCGAGGGGCCAAGGCCGCCGCGCGCGCGGCTGCCCACGCGCATCTTGCATGGCAAACGCAAAATGCGCGAGGGGCCAGGGCCGCCGCGCGCTCGGCAGCCCACGCGCATAATGCATAGACAGGCACAATGCGCGAGGGGCCAGGGCCGCCGCGCGCGCGGCGCCCCACGCGCATCTTGCATGGAAACACACAACGCGCGTGGGCCAATGGGCCGCCGCGTGCGCGGCGGCCCACGCGCATCTTGAATTGAAGCACACAGTGCGCGACTGGCGATGGGCCGCCGCGCAAGAGCTGCGGCCCACGCGCACTTTGTGGGGGAAAAAAAACCATGCACGAGGGGCACAGGGCCGCCGCGCGCGGCGGCCCACGCGCATCCTGCATGGCAAAACACACCGCGCGAGGGACCACGGGCCGCCGCGCGCGCAGCGGCGGCCCCCGCGCATCTGATGTAGAAACACACCATGCGAGAGGGGCCAGGGCCGCCGCGCGCGCGGTGGCCCGCGCGCATATTCATTAACAAAAAATGCGCGAGGGGCCAGGGCCGCCGCGCGCGCGGCGGCCCACGCGCATCTTATATGGAAAAAAAGAATGCGCGAGGGCCCCGCGCATCCTGCACAGAAGAACTCAATGCGCGAGTGGCCCAGGCAGCCGCGCGCACGGCGGCCCACGCGCATCTTGCACAGAAACACGCACACACACACACACACACACACACACACACCGCGATGGGGGCATGGGCAGCCGCGCGCGCGCGGCGGCCCACGCGCATAATGCATGGGAAAACACCACGCGCGAGGGGCACAGGGCCGCCGCGCGCGCGGCGGCCCACGCGCATCCTGCATTGGGGGGAGAAAAAAAAAGGGGAGGGCAAACAGAACGCGCGAGGGGCCAGGACCGCCGCGCGCGCGGCGGCACACGCAGAAAACGGAAATGCGCGCAGGGGGCTGGCAGCCGCGCGCGCGGCGGCCCACCCGCATAATGCATGGACAGACGCAATGCGCGAGGGGCCGGGGCCGCCGCGCGCGCGGCGCCCCACGCGCATCTCGCATGCAAAAAAACACAACGCGCGTGGGCCAATGGGCCGCCGCGCGCGCGGCGGCCCACGCACATCCGGCATGGAAAATCATGATGCACACAAGAGGATTACACCAAAACGCGCACGCGAGGTGCCATGGGCCGCCGAGCGCGCGGCAGCCGAAGCGCGGCTTGCATGGAACAACGCAACGCGCGAATGGGAATGGGCCGCCGCGCGCGCAGCGGCCCACGCGCACCGCGCATTGAAAAACACGACACGCGAGGGGCCATGGGCCGCCGCGCGCGCGGCGGCACGCCCGAGTCTTG